TGTCGTTTAAGTTTCCCCTTAGCGACACTACTTTCGCCTTAAGGTACTGTTTTTAACAGTAACAGTTTATTTTATAATTTGAAATATAAAGTCATCAGACCATTATTTTCATCAAAATTCTGACAAAGAGTTCATACTGGATGAGATGTTTTCCTCTCCTCTGTTTAGTCCTCTGGCTTAGTTTCTAGATTGCGGTGTTGCCAGGTCTGTCAAGTGCCTATGGCATATCAATTCATTATACACCACCGTTTATTTATATCTGATACCTTTAAATTATTTATTTACTGTTGGTATGTTGAACTTGTTTAATTACCACATGAGTAAACGTAAACAGTAGAAACAAGTCTTCACGGTTCATTACGTCGTGTCACATTCAGGAAGTAAAAATACTTTGTGTCAAAAGGAACGATTTCAACCGACCAATGGATGATGACGACACCAACAGGTGCTGAATGCAATTTCAAATCACATGGTTGTGTATAAAAGAAACATGTGTATTAATACTGGTGGATTATCAGGACACAAGTTATGATACAGTTATTTTAGCTGGGAAAATACAAGACCCTGTGATGTTGGGAGCCTGTATGATGTGCAGCACTGTCTTGGAACACTACTGGCTTTCAGATGACATACTACTAGGTAGGCCTAGCATGTTATCAATGTTTCTGTAGGCCCAGGTTTTTAGTCACCTGATCCATACCAACCAGTCTGGCTGTAGGAGGGCAAGTTAACATTCTTGCTACATTTTTAACTAAATTTATCAAAATGTGTTATTGTATTTTAAGTTATTTCTTCCAGACAAAGACTGCAACTTATCAATTTGTTGACACTAGATGGAAGTATGAGGTAACAATTTGTAATATTTTAGGATCAGTCTCATTTAATAATGGAGACACTATAAGATAGATTAGATAGTGTAATACATATTCCATGTATCAAAATGCATTTCGATACTTGAAGTAGTATTATACTATCTTATCTGAGATTAATCAGTGACCTATTGGTTTTCTAAGATCAATTGGGAAGCATGTCTGTCAGATTAATATTTTTCTGAATATACTAAAGTATATCTCACTAAATTTTGGAGAAATTTTGGAAAATTAAAAATATCAATAAAACCATGTTCAACAGTGGAGGGGAAAATCCATCAAAAATGTTAAGTCAAATTTAACATATTTTACCTATCAATGTTAAACATAAAACATAAATATTGTTTACCATCACAAATTATGTACTTTAATTACGGTTATTATCCATAGACAACACTGAATGAATATGTAATACATCTTCCTCCAAATTGAAGTCCACTTTGTGACCGGATTTAAATTTAATCTTTTGTAATGCAATAAATATAATCTTATGTTTTTAAAATGTTTCATCATAGTATAAGCTGATGACTAAAGTCTTATAATTTTTAACTTTTTTCTTTCTATTCCCCTTATTATTTAAAAGTAAATGCTTTCAGCAGGAACAGTTGGATGAGAAAACAAAATTTGTTTACTTTGAATATTAAACACAACAAAAAATTCTAAACAAGGTAAAATAAAAAATAGCAAGACCAACTGTAGTTTGTATAACCTGTGTATATTTTTTTTTATGTGGAAAGGATAGCTACTAATTATCAGAGAATTAAGAAGTTTGTTATTGGCAATATTTTGCACATGAGCCCCAAGTACAAAAGAAATAAAAGCACTGGTGCACTCTATAGACTATAATTATTTATATATGCTGGCTTCATCGGGTGATACAGCATTATAAAAGGAATTTATAATATATTACAATTTTTGTTCATGTGTTCCTATAGAGGCCTACTAATCTTTTATGTGCTTTGCAAACGTTATGGACAAATAAGTTTCTTAGTATTGTCAGGTCACCCAGGTCATTGCTGAAAATTGAGTTAAAGATAAGGAATTTTTCATTTATCAAATTCTTAAATAAGTTATATCAGAAGAATAATCAGCAACAACTATGAAATGTTTGAAACATTTTATGTTATAATATTAAGTATGTACCTACTGTAGATAGTTTTTAATTTGATTGTTGTATGGTCTCTTAGCCACTGCATTAAAATACTATTAAATTGAAAAGCGTTTTTTAAGCTTCTACAATACTTTTAAATTAAAATGATGTTGTTGTCAGGTATACAGTGTATTGTACAACTTTCCCCCACTTCAGGAATTTCATATAGACCTAGCCATAGTTCCCCACAGCTTATTTTGTTCAGTATTTTGCCTTTTAACTAATTATAGTATATATGGTGGATTATTCATGTACTGAGGGGAAATGGATTAATGAAGAAAGTGATTGAAGGGAGAATAAAAGAGAACAGTAGGCAGATGAAGAAAAAGTTCATGGACATGTTTAAGATTGGACATTACAAAGAAACAAAAAGAAAAGCACATAAAAGATAAAAGAGACCAGCGGAGGAACTGAATCTCAACTCATAAACAGACCTACAGGAATGCAGATTACTAATGATGATAATATATATACTGTCTCTTATACCGTTTTAATTTTAATTTTAAATTGTTTTGCATTATATGGCCATTTGCTGTTTTATGGGTTTTTCCCATTTGCCTTTCAAATTTCATTAATAAAGAACATAAAGTTATTATTAAGAGGGACAAAGAAATCTATAAATAAGTCCTGATAATCTGTCTCCTTGGGTTTTAAATGTTTGTGCTTCTCAACTATTCTATGTTTTTTCTATTATTTTTAACCACTGTTTTAGTCACAAAATGGTCCCCGATTTATGGAAAAAGTCATGCAATGTTCCAATACCAAAAAAAAAACCATGAAAGACATGCTACCTATAGCACTTAAAATCCAAATTAAATACCAAATGGTTTATTGATTGTTGGCATGTTTTGAATTTATTTATTCATGACATATATATGAGCAATGTACTGCAAACAGTAAATACAATAGACATTAAACTTCATACGTAAAATTCAGGAAGCATAACTTTGACAGTCTGCCAATTTCACGAATCAAAGTGAAATAACCAACGACCAATAGCTGATGTCAGAGGTGATGACGATGACAATAGGAACACTGACTAATCAAAATGCAGATTATGAGAAAAACGTGGATACTACGTACTAGATGGTTGTTATGTGGTATATTTCAAAATTGTGAGGATACTAGTTGGTTAATATTTAGTTAGCATGATGGAGAATTCAAATTTTGAGAGCCACAGGATGTACAGTTACATTGTCTGGAACACTGGTCTTTCCCTGCACACTGGCTAGGTAGCATCTGTAGGCCTAAGGGGGTGTAATGTTTAGTGTTTCTCTAGGCCATGGGATTGAAGTCAGTTTGTTCCTGCAGGCCTAAATATAGTTAACTGACCTATACCAACCAGCTAGGCTGTGTACATCATGCATAGGTGAGTCAACTTTTAGACATGTTTAACTCAATTATCAAAATGTGTTATTGTATTTTATTTCTTTCAAAACAAACAGTGAATGCAAGCACAACTTGCCAATTTGTTAAATGTTGCACTAGTTATATGAGAGAACAATTTGTAATATTAGGGTCATATTCATTTATAGAAATACTAAAATGGGAGGAATGTGAGTGATTTATTCATTATCATTATACTTGTTAACCATTTAATTAAAGATTTATAGCTGACATTATTATATTGATGACATTTAGTAATTTGACCTGTGAAACTTGTAAATTATTTCAATTTTATATTTCTAAATTGAATATTTGTACATTTTGAGATGTTTGTTTTATTTATGGTATTTGAATAATCATAGTGTTATTTAATTTAAATACTTAAATTTTAAGTAAATATTAATTGTAAGTAATAATTCCATTAGGTAATCATTAGTAGTGAATTCACATTTTTTAAATTAATTTCATTAATGTAAATTGTAATAATGTCTTTCCATGTAATTGATATTGTCTTTCCATATTGTAATAATGAATTAAAATTGTTAATTGATCTGTAATAATTTGGAATAATTGTAAGTTATAGTTTGGTAGGTAATTAATATTTATTTTTTAACTGTGAATTTTCAAATTTCTAATAATTATGTAATTAATAATAAGTATATTTTTGTAGTTTTTCTATATAATATTTTTGTAATTTCATTGTATAATGTTGCCTATTTTATATTGTATTTTATCATCTTTTTATGTAAAGTGCATTAAACAGAAATCTGAAAATATGCTGTATAAATAAATAATCATTATTATTATTCATTAAATTTTGAATGTAGGCCTTTGTTTTCCTTTTATTAGGTACTATACCCTTGAAACAGAGCTATAGTAAGTATTTTATAATTTTAAAAAAAAAATTTTTTTTTAAAGCACTCTGTGGATCTGATAAAATTTTGGAGGGAAAGTAAATATCAATAATCCATGTTCAGCAGTGGAGTGTATAATCCATTCAAACCATCATGCTAAGTCAAACTGGTCATCTTTCACTTGTCAAATTGGAATGTTAAAGATTTAAAAACATTAATATTCTTTACATTTACAAATAATATTGTGGTTACCTTAACACTGTATAATACCAAATGTAATGTGCATACATCTCCCTCCAAGTAAAGATTACTTTGTGACTGGAATTTAAATGGTCTTATAAAGGATAGGATCTTCAAGACCTCTGTATTATGCGCTTTACAAAACCCACTTTTTTTTATTATTGTTATAATAATAATAATAATAATAATAATATTATTATTATTATTATTATTATTATTAATATCTTGAAAACCTAATGGTACCATATATTTTATTTTTTTCCACCTTACACATTTGCATTTTTACTTTTCTTATATATTTCTTCAAGCATGCTGAAAAGTTTTGCGGAAGATTGGATGGGTGTAAATAGCTACAGGGAGGCAAAAAAACTAGTGGAGGACAAAGGATAGACTATGGTTGTCAATGTTCAGCTACTAAATATGACACCTTAAAGTAAGTAAGTAAATGAGAAAACAAAATTAATGAACACCTCTAATTAAAGACATGCAGCAAAATTGCAGACATGCAGCAAAATAGAAATTCAAAATAGAAGGGCCCAGGAAAGGACCTTAACAGGCAGAGCTCTAGACTACCTCAGCTCTATCATGGTTGGGGCTAAGGTAAGAAAATTATGATTTGGGCACCTCTAAGGCCAGAAATGGCATTATCAGACCTAATTTAATAATTTTTTTTTTCTCCATTTTAGTTTTATTTTGAAAAATTTAGGGGGCCTAGGTTTCTTTTTTATCAAGTTATTCTCTATAATAATAATAATAATAATAATAATAATAATAATAATAATAATAATAATAATAATATGTTTGTGCAGTAGTTTATGCCAACAAGGCCTCATATGGCTTCATGTAATTCCCCGGGTCATTGGATCAAGCACCAATGAAATGCATACTCAGCTCCCAGGGTAGAATTCCATAATGTTGGAGCTGTAATCAGTGCATTGTGTTTGAACCTGCAATGCAATACACCCACTTGTACTCCTGGGACGAAAGGCACAACCATATGTCCTCTTAGCCTCTGTATTAAAATGGTATTAATTTGATTATTAACTATATAATACATAGTATATTGTAGTCAAATACTGAGTATGGACTCCCAACCCACTGTACCAAGATGGTTCTTTTAAGTTGAATGTCCTTTTAGCCTCTGTATTAAAATGGTATTAATTTGATTGTTAAATACACATGGTTTCCTGTAGTCAAATACTAAATATGGACTCCCAACCTACCAGACCAAGATAATTCTTTTAATTTGAATTTCCTTTTAGCCTCTGTATTAAAATGGTATAAATTTGATTATTAATACAGTACATCGTATTATGTAGCCAAATACTGAATGTTGTTTAGCCTCTGTATTAAAATGGTATTAATTTGATTGTTAAATACACATAGTTTCCTGTAGTCAAATACAAAGAATGGATTCCCAACCTACTGGACCCAGATGGTTCTTTTAAGTTGAATGTCCCCTTAAGCTTTGTCCAGATTATCAAATTTCTTTGACAAAACCTGTTGAATGCCCATATATAGTTGTGATGTGATGTCATCACAACCATATTTATTAGGCATGTTTTTGTCAAACTAAATCTGATGTCTGGGCAGGGCTGTATTATAATGGTATCAATGTGAATATTAATTACACATCATTTCCTGCCTCAATGTAGCCAAATACCATGTATCAACTCCACACACTGTTCCTAGATGGTTCTTTTTTATGGCCTCCTATCCGACTGTATGAAGATGATAGAAGTTAAATATAATTGCTTCCTGACCTAATGAACTAGATGGTACTTTTTAATTTATACTATCACTGGGCTCTTGTATGAGTTTACCTTTCTATCTTGCATCGTGATCTCCTCTCCACAGTGGTCACATGTTACGACACGAAAGTGACAATCTATCTTCAGATGGTTCATATAGTCACGACGGGCCATTTTCGCAACGCATCCACGCTCTTTATGCATGCACTCAACCACCTCGAAGGGGCACTGCTCGAGATGAGATTTTAACTCCTTCAACATAAACTCATCTCCGCATCCGCTTGACTTGTTGGGACAGAATATTACCATATTATCAATCTTTTTTCGGGCAAAATGATCCGGATTCATTCCGTTTATAGAGATTTCCTCTTCCTTGCAGCTGGGACAGAGGAATTGCTCTGATTCTGCACGTCTATAGGAAATATACAAAGGATAATACAATTTTCAAATTTTGTGTGGATTTTCCCACCACCAATTAACATAAGAGTTAAATTTTTTGTTTTTTATATATTATTATGTGGCAGGTCCAGAATGGAGATGGCAATTAAGGACCAATGTTCTGATAGGTGAGGTTGGGATGTTCACTTTGTGGGGAGGGGAGTCTCTTTTTGCGAAACCCTGAATCACCCACTGTTCCAATAGCACAGTACTGTATACTAAGGTATTCAATCCTCTTTTTTTTTTTTATAAAACGTCTCATTATGAGCTTTAATTCAAATGGATTTGTCTTCTTTTTTAATGCAAAGTAAGATTGAAATAAATTTAATAAATATATTACAATTATAGTAGCATGAACACTTTATTTTAGTGTTTGAGTGGTAATATTTGTTACTGATTTTATTAAATTTTCAACCAGCCAATACATAAACATGAAACTATTGAAATAAGTTTTGTGGTATGCCTCCTTGTCTGCCTTTATTGTGTATGGGGTGTGAGAACTAAATTTTTTGTCTGCAGCTAAAATTATTTATAATTGTTCAATATCGGTCATCACCTTTTTTACTCATTTATATTAACATTTAAGCTTTATAAATATATATTAGAATAAATATAAACATTCCACAAATATTTCAATTTGATTAGTCAATGTTTCTCACAATAAAAATAGAAAAGCCACCCTGAAATACAATGCATTTCTTGATGGGGGAAAATTCCCTAGGTTATGGCATTGACCTATATGAATACAAAAGTTCTTAATCATCGCATGAAAAGATTCAGTGTACTGTAATGTTTCAGACATAATTATGCCATTGGTAGACTAGTCGCATGTACCTGTCTGCAACTCAAGGTTGTTCATATTTGCATAGTTTATCAAAGATGGTCAGAAGATCGTCACATTCTACATATTGTTTGTGACCAGAAGCAACTTTTCAGTTAACAGGTATTTGCATTTATTGCTTTTCACTAATTTATGCCTACCTGTGGTTAAAGTAGTTCTCAACACTATCGTCCAATATCCTTCTTTTGGTATGTTACTTTTTTATTTCTTTCACTTAATCATTTCTTATTAGCTGATTGCCTAAATTTTATATCATAGTATAAAGCCATAATTTTCTAATATTAAAAATAAATTATAATTATTCTTTATTATTGCATTTTTGAGAATCATCTTGTAAGGTTCTTTTTGAGAATCATTTTGTGAGACTGCTTTTGAGGATCACTTTTGTAAGGCTGTTTTGGAGGATCATTTTTGTAAGGCTATTTTTGAGGACATTTTTGTAAGGTTGTTTTCGAGGATCATATTGTAAAGCTCTTTTTGGGGATAATTTTGTAAGCCTGTTTTTAAGGATCATTTGTAAGGTTGTTTTTGAGAATCATTTTTGTAAGCCTAGTCTTGAGGATCATTTTGTAAGGCTGTTTTTGAGGATCAATTTGTAAGGCTGTTTTTGAGCATCATTTTGTAAGTCTGTTTTTAAGGATCATTTTGTTAGGCTGTCTGTAAAGATCATTTGTAAGGCTGCTTTTGAGGATCATTTTGTAATGATGTATGTGAGGATCATTTTGTAAGGCTGTTTTTCAGGATTATTCTGCAAGGCTGTTTGTCAAGATCATTTGTAAGGTTCTTTTGAGGATTATTTTGGTAAGGTTGCTTTTAAGGATAATTTTGTAAGGCTGTTTGTTATGATCATTTTGTAAGACTATATTTAAGGATCATTTTTGTAAGGCTGTTCTGGAGATTCATTTTTGTATGGCTATTTTTGAGGATCATTTTTTAAGGCTGTTTTGGAGGAACATTTTGTAAGTTTGTTTTTGGGGATCATTCTTGTAAGTTTGTCTTTGTGGGTCATTTTGCAAGGGTTTTTGCGAGGATCATTTTGTAAGGCTGTTTTTAAGGATCATTTTTGTAAGGCTGTTTTTGAGATTCATTTTGCAAGACTGTTTGTGCGGATCATTTGTAAAGCTGTTTTTGGGGATCATATTGTAACACTCTTTTTGAGGAAATTTTGTAAGGCTGTTTTTGAGCATCATTTTGTAAGTCCGTTTTTAAGGATCATTTTGTAAGGCTGTCTGTAAAGATCATTTGTAAGGCTGCTTTTGAGGATCATTTTGTAATGATGTATGTGAGGATCATTTTGTAAGGCTGTTTTTCAGGATTATTCTGCAAGGCTGTTTGTCAAGATCATTTGTAAGGTTCTTTTGAGGATCATTTTGGTAAGGTTGCTTTTAAGGATCATTTTGTAAGGCTGTTTGTTATGATCATTTTGTAAGACTATATTTAAGGATCATTTTTGTAAGGCTGTTCTGGAGATTCATTTTTGTATGGCTATTATCGAGGATCATTTTTTAAGGCTGTTTTGGAGGAACATTTTGTAAGTTTGTTTTTGGGGATCATTCTTGTAAGTTTGTTTTTGTGGGTCATTTTGTAAGGCTTTTTGCGAGGATCATTTTGTAAGGCTGTTTTTAAGGATCATTTTTGTAAGGCTGTTTTTGAGATTCATTTTGCAAGACTGTTTGTGCGGATCATTTGTAAAGCTGTTTTTGGGGATCATATTGTAACACTCTTTTTGAGGAAATTTTGTAAGGCTGTTTTTGAGCATCATTTTGTAAGTCTGTTTTTAAGGATCATTTTGTAAGGCTGTCTGTAAAGATCATCTGTAAGGCTGCTTTTGAGGATCATTTTTCAATGATGGATGTGAGGATCATTTTGTAGGGCTGTTTTTCATGCTTATTCTGCAAGGCTGTTTG